ACATCTGCACAATTTGAGAGTAAGTCTCTACCGATAATGTGTCAGGTTTGTGAGTAGCGTAAAAGAAGTAGGCCTAATGGTTAAAAAGTGAACAATTTTTGTTTTTCCGTAAATATCTCTCAAACTGTGAAATTTTAAATGTCATGGACAGAAATCATACAATTTCTTACAAGGCTACTAACAACACTTTCCTTCTCTAATAGATTGGAATCATAAACAAATCAATAACGCATTTGCCTATTACCATATTGGTTTTTAAATTTCCCCCTGGAGGAACTATTTCAAGTTTAAAGGCCATGCCAATATCACCGAGGGACTGTAGCGCGTGGACATTTTGTTTACAACGAGCCATTCCATATCAAAAGTATAGCGTCAGCGGGAGACTTTTGAGGTGGGAGGCGATAGCGCTGTCTCTTAGAATTTTGGCTACTGCTAATAGTCTAGGCAACAAAGACAAAAAAAAAAAAAAATACCAAATAGGCTAGAGGAAAAAATGCACAAGTAGGTGAAATTTAGTGCAGTTGTAGGGGAAGGGTACTTAAAAACATACTAAATGTACTGATTGTTGGGGGTTGAGCTAAGAAGGGTAAGTGCACTAAATGTCCCTTTTTTAGGTTTTTCATGAATAACACAAAAACCATGGCCTTCAGCAAAACGTTTCTCATATGTTTGAATAATCTATGTCAAATGATCTACAAGAAAGGTCCTATGCATTTTTTGGCTAGGATTATTACTTTTAATAACCCTCCTGTCCGTTAAATTTCCCGTCTTAATTTAGGAAAAGTATGTTTGGATGAGTTATAAACATTCAGTAGAACCTTTATTTACCGTCACTCTTGGGGCCGGGAGCGTGGCGGTTAAGCGAATTGATGGATAACAGAAATCCTATTATAAACCTCTACAGTAAGTTGATTTAAACGGTTTTGGAATAAATTAAACCCTCTAAAAGTGAACAGTGCATAATATTTAAATTACTTACATAGCCTACAACAGAACTGTTATTTTGTATTTTTTTCTTGTTCACAATGTTTGTACAGTGAAATAAAATCACATTTATAAATCATTTAAGTACTGTAGTGGGTTGACGGATAACAATAGAGTGGTGGTTAAACGAGGTTCTACTGTAACTGTCATGATTTCCTGTCATATTTAAAAACGATAGGCATACTACATTGAAAGGTAAATAATATTGCATTTTAATCTAATTCTCTCGCTACCAATTTTATAACATCACGACATACAGTTGTTTGTTTGTACTGTACTAATATTACCTAACTGCTATAGCACATAGAGTGGGATAGGTAGCCACCAGGGCAGCCACACTGTTATTGTAAAACTACTTATACTTGTGACTTTTAAAACTACCTACTCTTTTTAAACAAAGAAGTTTATATAATAATCACTGTGGATGATTCCTGTTGCCTCAAATGTTTGATTCCAAATACTTCTAATTGAGCTCACAACACAATATGTGCTTAGCCTACTCTTATTGTTTACAATGAGAATTGAATGATTTGGAAGGGATTTATTGTGCAATCTAATGTAAGATTTAGAACATAAAAAATTGGCAATAATGTGGTTTTTTAAAGAGGTTGATAGACTTCTTTTAACGTTAATTTTCTTCTTCCACATGAACCTCAAGTCTGTGCGGTTAACATACCAAGCAAAACAAGGGGTGAGCCGATACAAAACCTAGAGACTCTGAAACACGAACCCACAACCTCACTGCCATAGTTTTACATTATGTAATGCTACTGTGTACTGACTGAGCCACTGACACACAATTAACTGGAGAAACATTAAATGACGATACTTAACAGCCTCAAAACTCAATCAAAAGATACTCTGTGTAATGCATAATGCCGCTTGTAAAAATTGAAAGCTTAAGACTTAAATTAAGTTTAATTAATTAAACTGTTGATCTACTCACTGAAGGTTTCTACCTGGCCACCGTAAATGATTCCAATTGCTCCAAACCTCTATCCATGGTAGCCAAAACTCCTGAAGATATAGTAAACATTTAATACAGATATTCTTTGCCAACGACACAAAATTAAAATCAAACTGAAGTATTTTGTTAAGTCTTAGTCAGCATAAACAACCACACTTAGATAAGCAACCACAGTATTAGAGTTTTAGGCATAGATGAAGCAATTCAATGTGTTAAAAGTCTTGAGTAATGTAATATAATAGCCTCCTTGTATAAATTGCTATCAATGGATGCAATGTAAATTACTTAAATCAATGTTAAGGTCATCAAGTAAATTGTTATCAACAGTAAAAACTAATCTTCTCACTTTATTTTACAGAAATTGAAATTGAATTTGAAAAAAAAAAACAAAACAATATATTAGATTAATGTAGGTATTGAAAACTGTGTTAGTTGCCCTTACCGTTTTCTGCCATTCCTTTTTTTATCATTCTATAATTATATTACTGCTTTGACACATCAATAGTCATGTTATTGAGGTGCTTTTGTCTCATAAAACAAAGAAGTATTAATTTTTAATATAAATGATCATGTTGTTAACAGCCACTAAAGAGTAAAACACTTGACTTGTCATTGTGGCCATTACAGAAGTGAATTTAAAAAGAAAAATTCCTAGGGACCTGTTCTTATTACTAAAACAAAGAACCATTGTAGTGTACCTGTGAACTGACGAACACATGTTGATTGGCTGAGACTGGAGGCGACACTGACAGTGGGGCTGAGATAAGTTGCATTATCAGCTGTTTTATCTCAAGGAATGTATTGTTGGCTAGCTCCTAGCTCAGCTGTTTGCCCCCTCCTCTGACCACCTGCCTTATCACTGCCTAACTGTTTGGCGGATAAGCAATCTTTTGCCAACTGCCAGATTACTTCATTGTATTTCCATGAATTTTGTAATGTAGGTGACTAAGTATTAATTTATTCCCCCACTGTCTGTGGACATTTGACTGAAATATAGAACAGTATAATGTTTATATTTTGTCTGTGTAACATTTTGACACCTAGTAGAAATTAACCAAGTTAATAAGGATTAAATTGAATTAAAAGTAGTTGAGATAGTAAAATAATCAATATTTAAATAGGTCTATTCTTCAATAGTTTGAAAATACACATTGTAGCAGCACTCTATTGGAGTCAATATTTTAATTCAAATCAATAGAGTACATTACTATTTATAAACCAAAAGCAACTTAATGGATACCGTAACTTAAACTGGAAATTTCTTCCTGCGTAGGATGGTCTCTAACCCAATGTTCACAAAAGAAAACTCTTTTGTTTAAAAAAGGTTGTTTTTACAAAGTCGCACAATAAAACTAAAAGTTGAATTTTAAATTGAGAGTTGACAGAATTTTATAAACATAATTTATGGTTATTCTTATAAAAGGTCTAGTGGTAGGCCACTCAAAGTTTATATATTTTTACCACAAATCCTTTAGCACAAGGTAGAACCAGGTTGAAACAGCTCTGAATAAATAATATTTAAAAATAAAAATAAAACCATACCATACCATGCTCTTAGACTGCTTAAGGTCTAAAATTCTAATTTGTATTTTATTCATGGATATGATACCTGGCATAGCATAATTGTCTGGTAACTGTGTGGTTATAGTGCTCCCCTCTAAATCTAAGGTGTCTGGTTTTTACACCCATCAAAACCCATTTCAACCAAAACTATAATAATTAACATATCAATTGAAAAATCAGCTAGGCAACAAAAATTGCCTGTAGTGGTGTAGGTAGTTGGGGCCCGCCTTGGTTAACAGATTATAATGGCGGAGGCGATAACCCAAATCTAATACTATAATGAAGACAATGTTCAGAAAACATTTTTTGTATTACAGTTGTAGATTTTAAGATGACAGTAATTTTAGCGAATTTCCCATATAGGGAATAAGCTATTACCGTAGGTCTCATGGTAAGACCTAGACCCAGGACCGATTTACTTTTTCGTTTTGAGGTCCCCAGAGGCCAAAAACACCATCCGTTCAAATTCATATATATATATTTATATATGTGTCCGTTAGCGCGATAACTCAAGCAAAATTCCGATTTTGATCAAATTTGGTACAAACGTGTAAACCTACATTTATTCGAACGAGTTCGCGAACCAGCATAATCGGACCATGGGATCAGGGGTTTATGGGGGGTTTTATGGGGTAAAAATAGGGTTTTCTCATTTTTGACCCTAAAAACTTTCTAAATTTCTCTCTAGATCATTTTGAAGAGCTTAAAAAAACAAATAATTTAGTATATTGAAGTGTTTTTGAATGTTCATTGACTACAGAGAAAATTAAAAAAATTGTAAATTTAAAATTCCCATGTTATTCTTATGGAGAATAAATAAACTGTTCTAGTTTGCTTGTTTATGGATATATTTTAATCAAATTTGACAATTTGGTTTATTTCATACTCAGCTATCAATATTTCAATTGAAAAAACACACCTTCCCCATTGAAAAATCTTCCCCGTAGCAGCAAACCTAACTACTCACTAAAATTAATGTTATATAGGAAACAAAATCTGAAAATTTATAGGGAATATTTTAGTAGAAATCAAGCCGGGTAAATGGAAATTCGCTTAGTATGCAGGTTTGCTGCGACGTGGGTATTTGAAATATTATACTGTTGTAGATATCTTTGAACCAAAAAAAACCTTCTAATTACAATCATTGATTAATCTAAAAAATAGGTTATCTGATATGGCCTTGATTTCGGTGTATGTTTTTCTGTAAAAAGTAGGATATTTACATTTCTCTTACTAAAAACGTAAACATACCTTTGGGAAAAACGCAAAAAAAAACCAAATAAAACCTAAGGATGGAAACCTTGTCATTTGTGACTTTGTTTTAAGGGATGGGATTGTTTTTTCATACTTGATATAGATTAATTTTATTTCTTGTTCTCTTTCTGTGTGTAGGACTGTTAATAAATTAATTTCTGTTTCCATTTAATGCAGAGTGAATAATAGTGTGTGTTAATAATAAATTTTAATGTAGATTTTTCTGTTCCAGGTTGTTTCTTCATATGCAGTAGTAGCCTATTTTTGTGAGGAAATGTTGGCCTGTTGGTAAGTAAATTTATAAAGAATCGGCTTTTACTGTAACTCTCCTATTATAACTTGAACTTGGCTTTAAACATTTTTCAATTATTTTATAATTTATTATACGCCGGTTTCAGTAATTGAAACTTTTGAAATTGAGTTGAGCTTGTGTTCAAATAGCAAAATGGAAAAGTACAAGACATCGAATGAAATTTAGTCCCAGTTCATAATAATAAGGTATTATAAACTTAACTGAGGTCTGTTTCCAAATCTGAAACTCAACTCGATGAGTTTCAAGCATTTAAACCAAATAGGTAGCCTACAGTATTTGGATACTTTGAACAAAGATTCAAATTCAAAACATCTTTATTTTCCTAAACATGTTCATGGGTACAAAAATAGTGTCAAATATAAAGTAGTAAACTAACCTAGGTATTACATTTTAAGTTCTAAATTATTAATGAGCATTTATTCAATGAGTTCCTCCATTGTATGCCTATTGTAGGCCTTTCATATTAAATATATTTTTTTAATTTACCTTTAAATGATTTATAATTTGATTCCTCCTTTACAGAGGCAAGCAATTTCCTTAGAATTAGTGATCCAGCAAATGTCGGTTTCTTTTTGGAGAATTCCAGCTTATAGATTGAAGTTACAATATCCTTTTTATGTCTTGTATTGTAACTATGTGGCACAACTGGCTCATATTTTATGCTGTCTTTTTTAGCTATGCTATTTCAAAAGTATTAGCTGCAAAAACTGTTAAAATATTTAGATTTTTGAAGTGTAGTGAGACTTAACTGATTCATCTTTTTTAAGGTGTAAAATAATTCTAATGGCTCTTTCTTTGGATGTTTAGAATTGTATTTAAATTTGTCTTTGAAGTTGACCCATAATTAGTCCAATGCCATAGTTTATGTTAGAATGAATATGGGCAAAATATATGTGTTTGAGTGCATGAAAATTGCATAAATATGACATTCTTTTCAATGCATACTGTACACTCCAGAATTAAGCTTAATAATTTTTCTTTGTGAATATTGCAACTTAGATGTTCATCTACAGAAAGACCTAAAAATTTGGCCTCAGAAAGTTATTCTATTGAATCTGAATCAATGACCAAATTGGGTTCAAGTTTCTGTTTACTTTGTTTTTGTTGTATTAAGATTAAAATTATTTTTTTTTTTTTTAACTGCTGTATATTAGACAACTCTGCAGAGGCGGAAAGTTCCAACTCATCTTTACCTTTCCCCGCCACTGTTAAATTTGAATCATCATAAACAAATTTTACGCTTTTGAGAATTAACAATACTTTTAGGCATTTATTTTTTATAACATAAAAACAAAATTGGTCCCAAAATTAAACCCTGTGGCACTCCCTACTTAATTCTACATTTATGAGAATTAAATGTACCGTAGTTAAATAATTGTTTTTGTTTGATTTTATTTCAAAAAATTGCATTTGACCATCCAAATAAGATTGAAACCATTTTAAGAGGACTTCCATCATAAATATATGGATACAACTAGGTAGAATAAATTTTTTGAAGGAAAAGTGTCCGTTTTATATAGCCAAATTTTATTAGGGTTTTAAAGAATTTCACTTCTAAATAAGTAGCCAACTATTATCTACACGTCGTGGCTATACAAGTTCTTATAACACCAGCCTTCACTTATAATGTAGTAGGTTGGATGATGATTGGTTTGTGAACATTTCATCTCTTTAAATTGTAATGGGAGATTATTTTTATGCACTCTTCAGCCACAAATTTTGTTCATCCTACCATGACCTATCGTACCTGTCCTACTATGTACCAACATTGTTAGCTTCATGGTCGATTTGAAATATGATTATACAATTTGAGTTCTACTACATTATTTAGGCCTATTTATACAGGGTGTCCCGGAACTCTCTACCAATATTTTAGGGCATTGCTTCTGGGTAAGAAACATACCTAAATATCATATTTAAATTGTCCGGAAGTCCTTAGTTACTCACACAGCCGCCATTTTGTTTTTTTCAGTTATTAATTTTTTTCTAAAGAATGGTAAACATATGAAATTGAAACTTTGCACAAACATTTAGGACAACTAGACAAAGCTACAAAAAAATTATGACGATTTTTCAAATTCATAAAACAAAATGGCGGCCATTTACAATTGTTATAAAATCAACGTTTTTTTGAGTTATTTAAGAAACAAAATTTTAAATGGCCGCCATTTTGTTTTATGAACATGAAAAATCGTCATAATTTTTTTGTAGCTTTGTCTAGTTGTCATAAAGGTTTGTACAAAGTTTCAATTTCATATGTTTAACCATTCTTTAGAAAAAAATTAATAACTGAAAAAAACAAAATGGCGGCTGTGTGAGTAACTAAGGACTTCCGGACAATTTAAATATGATATTTAGGTATGTTTCTTACCCAGGAGCAATGCCCTAAAATACTGGTAGAGAGTTCCGGGACACCCTGTATTTATGAAACCTCATAAAAATTAACCTGATTAATGAGTTTGTTTGAAACAGTAACAGATTTCATGGTTTTATTCTGTTATGAAACACTTACTTTAAAACTGGTAAGAATGTGAGCTTGAAAAACTTTTTCTCCAATCGCGCTCACTTTTCTTATTTGACTTCTGAAAATTTGATGTAAAATTGTACTGCAAATTTAAAGGTGTTAAATAATATTTAAATAATGTTTAAATAAAAAATGTTTTTTAGTCTAATGACTTGAAATTTGTTGTATATTTAACTATTTCTGCCCATTATTTATATGTAGTAGGGCCCCATATTATTGTTTTTAACAATCACAGTTCATTTTACAAAAATAAAATGGAAGCAAAACAAAGAAATGTCGAACAAAGCGTCAAGGTCAAGCTATCCGTTTGCACTGACAATCGTCTGCTCCTTAGACCTACACATCTGTCTGCTGTGGCACTTGCTTTGTCACAAAATTTTGTGATTGAGTATTTGTTAACCATGACAACTTTAGTAGCCTTTGATTGGGTGATTAGTAACCATGGCAACTTGTTGAATGGGTGCATGAAGAGAAACTCAATTTTTTTATGTAATTGTTATCTTTATCGGTGTATTTTATGTGATTTAACGACTGTTTTTATCATGTTTAAATTGGCTACTGTTATTTTATACTTTTTTATGCGTTATCTTATCTAATGTTTTTATCGACATTCTTCTGTCCTGAAACAGCGTAGCAGTAGCCTACACAACAGAATCATCATGATTGTGCAATAGCCTACTAATTGTATTTTGATGATGTAGTATGCAAATTATCACATTTAAGTTTATTCATAAAATAATAGGCGTTGTTTATGAATTTTAAATGCCATGTTGGATTAACCATGGTTTTCAGTTATCTGTGGTCTGTTCAAAATACAGCTTTACTATGTTTTTATGTCAATCAACGCGTTCCTCTGATAATGCGACCTTTTTGCTGTTCCTCCCGGTCCCGTCGGTGACGGATTAGCAAGGTTCTACTGTAGAGCAAAGAAAAGAGCAACAACAACAACAAAAAGAACTAGGCCTAATCAATCCTTTGTCCTGTAGTGATAATGGCAAACACAACTGATTGTGCTCAGCTCAGCCCGAAAATGGTTATTTTTGGTGAGTCGGTGGCTCAGTTGGTAGCGTCACGAACTTCGAACCCAAGGCAGCGATGTCGTGGGTTAGGATCCTGGTCACTGCCACTACTTTTTATCAGTACAGTTCACCATGTAGGCCTACTATTGAATTGAATATACCGGCTTACCCCTTGCTTTGCTGGATACATTCCACACAGAGGCCCAGAGCCTATGTGGACGGGCAAATGCAAGGTTAAAAGTGACCAACCAATCAGTGGAGCCAACCTCTTAAAAAAAAATTATATGTTTCTGAGTCAAATTAATCATGAGATGCAATGCAGTACTAATTTGCAGTCAATTTATAAATGTAATGATAGTTTACCTTGCTTCCCAATGTGATTTTGCCTCAATGAGTGTCTTCTGTTACAGAAATGGCCGCAGACAGTGACGGAGGAGGACAGTTGGTTGAAACTATCGTTACATGTGAAGGCGACATCACAGACCCCCAGTTCCCTCAGAAGTTTAAGAAAATCGTTCAGAAACTACGTTTTTTACTCTGCGACGGTAAGTTTAATCTGAATGCTAATTAGGAATTTATTCCTATCAGTTTTTCAGTTACCTTTTTTATCCTTTTAGGGCAAATTTCATCTGTAAGTTGACTAGAATTTCAGTGTTTTCAGACACACACGTAATTATGAAGGTGAAGGAATATTTTTGTAGGTACAGTAGAACCCCGGTTAACCGAAATAAAGGGGGGGGGGAGACGTTTCCAATAGCCAATTTTTCGGTTAACCCATCATATGCTAAAAGTAGCCTTCATGTATTACCATGGTGTGTAAGAAAAATTAATTTAAAACAATGTCTATATAATACAGTGTTCTATTTTAGCTACAAAAATGTTACAATGGGTTAGAAAAGCCCCTTTCTAGAGAGACAGGCTTGGTGCTACGTCTCTCTGATTACATATTACCATAGACAAAAAGAATTAAATATAGACCGTCAGCTGTACTGCGGTTACCATAGGTCATGGCGCTCCCTGCGGTGTGCGCCAGAACCTATTGTAACCATGGTAACTGCAGCACGGCTGACAGTCTATATTCAATTCTTTTGGTCTATGATATTGTGTATTGTACTTATATTTTAGTCCTGTATTAATTTAGGGAACTGTTTCGGTTACCCGGGTTTCGGCTAACCCAATTTCGACTAACCCCGGGGTTCTACTGTATTATAAATTATGAAAATGAAATAACTTGATTTATCTAGCCTAAGATACAATAGCTATGCCCTAATATTGATTTAAAATAAACAACTTCTAAACATATTGTATTTTCAAACATTTTAAAATATGTTTCTTGAAGTTTTATGTTATTGTTTGGTTAATGTATAGGCTACTGTATGTGTATTAATTGTTGCATTTTTTATCAGGTAACGGAGAATCACTAAGAGTGGCTAAGGTAGAGCCATGGAATTCTGTGCGTGTGACATTCACCATCCCGCGGGATGCGGCGCAACGGCTGCGACAACTGGCGCAAGCTGGGGATGCGGCACTGCACCAGATGGGCATCCTCAGTGTACAAGTGGAAGGGGATCAGGTAGGCTGAGTCTGGTCTTAGACTAACTTTAACTTTGACATGTGTTACCATTGGCGATTTACGGTATTTGAACCCAGGATCCTACTCCCTGAATTTCATATTACTTCAGAAAGTACAAAAAAATTAGTACTTCTGAAAGTAGTCAATTTTTTCTATAGCCTAACCAAAAGAATAAAAGCTTAGCATTTAAAACATTTTTAAAAACATTTATTGTTTCTGAGCTGGCAATTTCTTAAAGTGTTATGTTTTTTCTAGTTTAGGATCCAGGCCTTATTCATAATTGGGATTATTATATTAAAGGAATTGCAGCTTACTTTGTAAAAAGTCCAGGTAGGCCATAGTACACACAGAATACAGAAGAGCCCACAATATACTCCGTCCCTTGAGGATTTGTCAAGTGTAGACACAGTAGTTATTATTGGCAGAAGGAAATAACTTCAAATAAAGTGAGTTTTTCTTAACTGTATTTGCCTATTCCAGGAGAAAAGATTAAAATTTTTCTATTGTGTCTTCAATGTTTAGTATAGCCTACCTTCGTTTAAAAGGTAATCTTGCTGCTATCTCTTTATTCTAAAAGGGTGTTGTGTAATTTTGTTCATGCATTTGTTTACACAGTTTACATTTTACGAGCTTAGTGCTGATTGTTATTAATGTTTGACAGGTGATATCACTCCGCCTAGCTGGCAGGTTTGGTGGGGAGGGGCAGGAGATCGTGTTACGAACTGCAGACGCCTCAACCTCCGCAGCCTCCACCAGCGCAGACGTTGCAGCAGTCGCAGGACCTTCCTCCACGCAGTTCCGCAGCCCCAATGTGGTTGCCCCCTCTGACGGGGACCCCATCCCTCCCTTCCCCTCTGCCAACAAGAGCTCTCCCCCCTCTACCTTCCCCTTTGCCAGTATGACTCACGCCGCCTCTGCTATACAGGCAAGTGAATTTATCTACATTTTCAAAATGTACTTTAACCAATTGGAAAGATTAGGAGAAAACCATATGGGTAGATGACAAGTTTTCAAGAAATGAAATATTTTAGATCCAAATCATCAGCTATAGTTAAAATATACAATCTGTGTGGGCTTTAAAATAAACAAATAATAACCAACTAGCTGCTAGCCCGTCCTACGTACGGTAATCAAGTAGTCGATTAAAACTTAATATAATTTGGAACAGCTAGTTTACACGCATACAGAAAAATTCTGACAGTTTTAATAAGGAAAATCATCATGAAAACTAATATCACATGACCACCTATTTCTTTAATATTATTTAAGGCTAACATGATATGCATTTTAAATTCGATGATAATTTTACAATAAAACAGCAATTGTGTTGATTTTAAAAGCCTCGAAGTGAGATTGGCGGTTGTTTCACACACACTGGTTTAAAGTACAGTAGCTACATACCACCTTCCATTGTATATTTTCACTTACCGTACCTTAGTTTACCTCAGTGGCCACAGAAACATGAAGACGATTTTGGTCCCCCATTCTCTTCTATCCATCTTCTAATGCTGATCCCAGTGTGGAGTTAAGTCTTTCATTGCTTGGTCCTCCAAGTGGTCGTATTACTTGTGATACTTCCTGGAATACCTTTTTAAAAGTTAATGTATCTTCTCTCCTCCACGCATAGCCTGTCCATCCGAGCCCTTTACTTCTGGAAATCACCCATATATCTGGGTGTTTAAACATTCCTCTTAGCTCTCTGTTCTTTCGTATCTCAACCTTTGTTATGATGAAATGATCCGTTTATTTTCTCTGCACTCTATTCTCAAACTTTTCTTTGGTCGTTGCCCAAGATTCTGAACCATACAGAACTAGTGGAATAAGATGGTATGGTATGAATCCAATTTGTTATCTTGTGACACCCTGCAGCTTATTTGACAGTTTTCTAGAGAACCACTATACCGGTTGACATTTGGATTACCAACCAAAGATTTGATGTGCCGACATTAAAGAAATCGTCCATACCTATCTTTATATCGATTTCACTGCATTAATTGCTAAATAAATTAGTAAACAAAGAAAAGTAAAAACAATAACAGATAGTTTGTTTTGAAACAGCTGTTTAGTTAAAATAACATTCATTTGAAAAAATAACTTGTCACGTCCTGTAGAAGAAATTAAAAAAATTAAACACGCTAGTAAGCCATATTGACGTAATTTTACTATCTTTATTATAAATAACGTTATCAATCTAATATCTGATAATTACCCACCCTCATTGAATCTATGAACTGTACATCCTAATTTCCCATATTCATTTATTCAAACTATAAGATGTTTGGTTGAAATAAAAGTGACATTTTGCCTACATCAGCGCAACCAAACGTAACCGCACAACAATCAACGTTTTAAATTTGACAAAAGGATAGTAAGTCTACTTCCAGTATCCTCGGTAAATGATATAATCGTGTTTAATCTGTGTTATCCATCTCTTTATCTCTTGATAAAACCCGTCAGAGGTTGTTGTAGTAATTTAAAATAGTGATTCCTGATCATCCTCGATCTTATTGTTTTATGACATCAATATTTCCAGGCCTAATCCAAACTAAGTTTAAGCAGTCAAACATTTATTGTAAACAAAAAGCTACCAAGATGAATTAAATCATGTAAACATTATTATTTTCCTACGATTTCCTTAAAAATTCGAGCAGTAAAATAATTTGCATAGAATTTTCTTTGAAGAGTCGTGGGCAGAGCCTTGATTTGTATTCAGCAATGCTCTTACTTATCTCTGTGGTCTACTCATCTCTACTAATCTTTCTTATTTCCTATAATTAATGACAAAATCATAGAGGAAAAAAATAACCTCATAGTTCTATAGGATATTCTTATATCCAACCAGCTGTTGGTTCAAACAAATTATATTGCACTAAAACAAACCCAAGTTTTAAAGACTGCTTTAAAAAATAAATTATACTAGGCCTATCAAGTATTTTACAATGTACCTATATTTAAATAATCTGTCATCCCCTTAGTGAATAAATGAATGTATCAATTATTATATCATTACACATAGTATAAATAAGTCAACCCTACTTATGTCATTTCATTTTTATCAACATTCTGAATTTGTTTCACAAATGCTGATTGTTTACAGCTGTTATGTTAAGCAAATGGTATTATACCAAAAGCTAGTCTTGAATGTTAGCATCGGCTGCTAGATTTTTTAAAAATTAAAATTTAATTTCTGAAAACTGAAACCTTAAACTAAAATTATGGCTTCCTAGTTCTTAAAATTAGTTATAGCTAGATAAGTGAGTTCAGAGGTAGCTTCGAGTTGTGCTGTTAACTAATTTATTTACGGTGAACTGTGATTAGGCCTACGTATTACGGTGACATGTTTTATCACACACACTTAACTGTAATATAAGTATAAACATCACCAAATTTTCCCCTTAAGCTTACATTTTGCAAACTTATTTTTACTCCATTTGTCACTCCTTGAAATCCTTGTGAAAACCACAGATTTGTATGGAAGATGGAAGTCATTGTAGACTCTCTCAATACAACGCCAGTAGTATTCATCAAAGGGAAGATAAAGAGTAAATATTGATGGAAAGTAAATTAAACTAAAAGAATATTTTAAACAATTACAGTTTAAACAAGTTTGTAGATGTCAACAACTGTGATGATATTTCAGAGCCGGGCGGAGCCACATTTTCCTGCGCCGCCCCCACCGCCACCTTACCCTGAGGCGGCTCCCAATGTGGCGTTGTCCAGCCCTCTGCTGGTCAACCTGCTGCAGAATGACGGATCTCCAGGCCCCTCCACTTCAAAGATGCCACCTCCGGCTAGCAACCCCACTGCTCCCTCCGCCTTTGTACCCTGTCAGAGGCTACCTGTGGGGGTGAAGCCACCAACACCTGTGTACGCCCAGCGACCACCTGTCGTGGCCACTCCGACACCCGCTCAGCCTTTCAACTCACCTCAGGTATATAGCTGTGCTAACTACTATGCATGTTTGTAGAATCAGGTTTAGCTACATCAAGAATAGTTTTGTGTCATAAGTATTTTGGTAATGAAAAATAGACTTGGTGTTGTGTGTAGATAATGAGGTATCTAAGTATATTCTAAATCAAGTTTCTCCTAGTGCAAATAATCTATTTGTAATAAGCATTGTATTTTTATAATCTTACTACCTGTATACTAACAATGTTGTTGTGGTTGCAGGTAATCAGTCGAATGCCGCTACAGACGGGTCAGCCACAGGTGGTGTTACCTCAGAGGACAGTCCCTCTGACTCAGAGGCTAGTGTCTCCCAGCAATCCTCAACCTCCAGTGTACAACACACAACAATCCTCAGTACGCTACCCTCCCACCAAGACACCTCAGCTGCCTATCAAGACAACTGTTGTCAATCAGCAGAGGCTCTTCACACCTCACCAACAGCAACAACCCACTCAGATGCCTTTATCCAACTCACACAATCCTCTACTTCACCAGAACCAGATAGCTACGACGACGGGGCTCGTGGTGAGGCCGCCTCAACAGAGGATATTCCAAACAAGGCAGACCCTGGAGCAGCGAGAGGCTACGTTGCCAGTCATTCAGCATGCCGTCAGACAACCACAGAACCCTGTGGTGAACTTTCCCCCTCCCTCTCCTGCCCCTGTCACCAACCCACCTCCCTACCCGAGGATGCCCAATCCTGTGCTGAGATTCCCCACGACACAAGACCCTCCTGTCACGCAGGAGGAGAAGGTGACAGGAAGTGAAGAGAAGGCTCCTGAACCTGTCAAGGAAGAAAAGGAGCCTACTCCCCCGGCCTCACCTCAGCTAACATCAAACGGCAAGAAAAGGCAATACTTAATAAACCCTCTGACGGGGCATTTAGAACCGATGCCTAGCGAGAGCAGTTCAGACAGTGAACCAGAAGAGAATGTGCCTAACTCAACGTCCCAGTCTAACTTGGACGATCCTTTTTTCACATTCCCATCACCACTGAATGACCGGTCAAACTCTGTATATTCGGATGATGATGATGACGTCAGTTCGACAGTTTCTCGACGTGCTGATACCACCACGACAGACCAGTCAGACTCTGAAGCCACAAACAGGTCTACTAACAGTGAAGCATCATCTGTAGTCAGGCATCGAGTGAAAGCGACGTCTAGTCCTGCGCCGGGCGAGAAAATCAAACTGAGGCTCAAGTTGGAGAAGCCAAACGAACCTGTAACATCGGCTTATAAAGTAGATTTTGTCAATGTGCCACAAGCCAGGAAGGCAGATAAAGGTGTGACCCGAATGTTCTCTAGCACAGGAGTAGCGGGACCTTCGGTGCCGGGAGAAGAGCCTAGAGTACCTCCACTGCATATCTCTTTACGGGGCAGAGCTGCTGTTGTAGTTGGCTCTAAGAAGGACAAAAAGTACTCATCCAAGGAATCCAAAGAAGGGAAAAAGTCTAGTAGTAAAGTTAAAACCAAAGCTCTGCTTGAAGATTGTGTCGGAACGACGGTGGTAAAAAAGTGCAGCACAGGTGATAAGATTTCTACAAAAGCAGTAATCAAGTCCAGTTCATTTGAACCGGGCGAAGTGAAAGTGCGAACAAAGTCCAAAGGAAGGACGGCTTGTGACCATGACAATGAGGACGAAATATCCGAACCGCGGATCATCGAACCGGGCGAGATAGTTTTACCGTGCAATCAACATCAATTACAGACTCCTGTCAGGACATTCCCCACCCAGGAAGAGGTAGCCTCGATATTGAGATCCATGCCTTCAACGGGCGGCCACCATAAACTGAGTTTGAGTGGTAAAGTAAAGAAACGGGACTCAAAAAAGAAGCTTTATCCGAGAGAGCGGGGGTTGTTATCGGGCGGTAGGATATCTGAAGAGGGAAGTGGGGGAAGCAGTGGGGTCAAGAGTAGTGTGCAAAGGAAAACGGGTAAAAATAGTAATGTTTCGTTGTTAAAGAGTGTGGTGAAAACCGCATCGAAAGAAGCCCGAATGATGGCTGCCGCAAGGCATATGAACAGTCAGCTGAACAGTGAACGGCAACGGGTTACCAACGCTAACACTGCCCTAGGCAACGGAGTCGTGCAGAGGAGGCCAAGCAACACCGCCACTGATAATAAAGACATCAGCTTTACAAGTTAGTAAACTACCAATCTAAACCCTTCTAATGTAACCTCAAGTTAAGTTTCTTGAGATAGGTAGTTAAATACATATGATTACTGTGGCTGTGTGGTTTCTTATGTATTATCTATGCTTGTGGTACTTTTACATACAAGTCCACACATTGGTCAATTTAAGCTCCTTATATAGATGTAACTCCTAAACAAAATGTGAGCATTTTATAATAATTTATGTTTATTCCATATCTTTAGCAGGTACTCAATCACTGGTGCCTGTGAAGCCAACGACGCAGCCATCATCGCCTCATGTGCCATTCCGCCATAACTGCTTGACCGAGCTAGCAGCTGATACGCGCAAGGATTATAAGACCAGCAAACGACTGGACGCCAAACGCAACAACCAGGCTGCTCACTTCACTAAGAAGGTAGCCTACTGTAAAATTATATAGGCCTACTGATCAATTTATTTTTTTAACCCCATTCCGTTCTTTTTCTGAAGTGCAGTTTACCTGTGTGGAGTAAGATCTGTTTTTGAGCTTAACTCATAACCATCTAAGTCCAACCTTAGTTATGTTAGCCATCCATACTCCAAGGTATGCTGCAAATGTGTCTTATCGCTTCCTATAGATTTTTAATAAACATCCTTTTGTGAGTAAGTGTTGTGGTAAGGGATTGAGTTCAGATAGTTTACCTGAGAATTTGTATTGATACTAAAGTCTCACAATACCAATTCAATTCCTAATGACTAACTAACTACTAATGTTGGTAATCAGAGAATTGATTTTTTTTAGTTGGTGGTTTGTCAAAAAGGGTTCTAATGCAGTGAGGTTACATTTGAACATTTGTTGTAGAGCAATTATTCAGGAGATTAGTTCTGTGTATTCAGGTTTTAATGGTAGTTGGTTATCAGGTCGATGGACATTGTATCTATTCAATTTTTTTAGTAGGCTTGCAGTTATGTTCTGTGATTTTTTTGTATCTACAAGTAAGCCACATCAGTGTTTCCTGTGTTTGCCAAGAAAATATTATCAACAACTTGCATGGATTTTTACAATAGTCAGTTTGTCAGCAAGGAACACATTGAAAAATAAACATGGAATGAATACCATCTCCTGCTGCAAACCTTAGCTGCAGAGGTTCTTGATTTGCTCCTAAGGTATATTTTTAGTTCGCTAGACCTTGAGCTTGGCATGGGTAACGTAAAAACTTGATGGGTCAAGTAAGCTTGCCATGTCTTAGGTTGCAAAAAGACATATGATACTGGATAAAAATTGTAACTTATATATTGTTATTTGTTAGGTTTACACATAAGCCTTTTGTCACACTTTTTCATAACTACGATATTAATTAAATTTTTTTAACATCACTTAAAAAACACACTTATATTTCCCAGGTATCTGAAGAAAGGAAACCCACCATTCTGACAGTAAACAGAGTCCAAGTGATGGAACCACTCTTACCTAGAGTGTCAGTTAATTCTACCAAGCAGTCTGGACCCAGCCTGCCTGTCAGTGAGTTGGACGTGTCGGAGAAGAAGGTGAAAGAACGTCTGCTAGAGGAGGAAGTGGGCAAGAAGGATATGGAACCCAGTGACTCTGTGCAAACGGACATAAAGAGTGAAGTGGAGTGTTGTACGGTGAAACCAGTGGTGGCAGAGATAACAGCTAGAGTGGGAGGAGGGGGAGAAAGTCCTGCGGGGGGAGGGGAGCAGGGCAACACGCAAGGTGAAGATTCAGGGATAGAATCCATGGACGCTCTGTCAGAAAAGTCACCCAACCAGGGCGAATCCCCTTGTCGCAAAGACGATAAAGATCCTAGTGGAATAGTACCTGCCTCTAATTCTAATTTAGAAAAAACACGGACTAAAAGCGGTGAGGGAGAAACCCCGCCTCCTGTTAGTGTTTCTAGTGTTAAAGTCGAGGGCGCGAGTGATAGTGTCAATGTCACGGACAAAAGTGCCGATCGAACTGAACCCCCGGTACCTATACCCGTTGTTGATACATCTATAAGTAAAAGTGAACCTACCGTAGTTGAAAAACAGACTGATAGCGATAACGTTAAAGAAGAAGGGCCGAGTTTGGAAGGTAAACCGGTAACGGAACCGACTGTCTTGAACTCTCCCACGTTAGAAGATCCTCAACCTATTAGAATTACCCCGGCCCTGTATACCTACTCTAACCCCGAGAAGCATAGAGAAGACACCCCCTCGCCTAGCCCTGCTGAGGAGGAACCGACCACTCCGGTGCTGGAGAGTCCTCCTCCTGCTGTGCAACTTCCCCCAGCCAGGGCTAAGAGAAAAAGGAAGCAGGACCTGGAGGAACGGCTGGAAGACGGTAAACCCAGTTTAGAGCCTACAACAGAGGCTCCTGCGGAGAAGCAGAAACCTGCACTGGGTATGACATTTCATTCATGAGACTATTTAGTTTATGTTTGTACATTATGTTGCTGAGATTACCATTTTCTTCTAACTATTTTATGATCAATTTTTTGTTTTGCAAATAATTTTATTTTTAATAGAAGAAGCTTTTTAAATATGGAACCAATTCAATCTGTCATTATTATCAATCATTTATTTCATATTTATAAACAAATAAGATTTATTTACATTGTCTACTAATTCAACACCGTATCTACCTTCTTTCCGTCTATGTGTACCACTTAAAATTAAACTATTTTTTAGCATTTCTTATCTGGATTTTTCAATTTAAAAATCTTTTAATTTCAATTTTGTGTATCCATTCCTTTCAGATATCAGTTTGCATCTACTAGTCTATTTCAATCAGGATGTAAACTATTTTTCTCTGGCTGGTTAAAATACCTCAAGTACCTCCAGTGGTAAAGTGATTACCTTTATTGATCAACAAATAATGAATTACATGCTAGAGGCTGTATAGCATATATTATTGAAGTGATTTGACTGTTGGGTTTGTGTAGACTCGGTGAGGACGCCGAGGTCAGGCAGCGGTGGAAAGTCTCTGTTGGAGCAGCTGCTGATAGAAATACCCTCTGAGCAGAGCTTGGAGCAGCGGCGAACACGAAATACTCGCTCTCACTCTAACAGGTAACTTGAGTGTCTTAAAAGTCCCGTATTTTACCAGGAGGTCACAAAAGTCAACTCACTTAGTTTAGCAGAGGCCACGGATATCGCTGAAAAGTTTTCTATTTTGCTAGGATGTCACAGAAGTTACTGGGAGGCATTTATTTTACTAGGGAGTAGCAACTTTTACAACAGTAACTGAATTATCATTTATTTTATTTACTAGGGAGTTGCAGAAGTGAGTTATATTAGTCCCTAAAAAGTCACTTTTTAACTTGCCGTGTGGGGAAAGTCACTGATTTAGATTTAAATGCATTCAAGTCATTGATTTTAATCAGAGCCAAAGAAATTAAATATATCCTAATTAATATAATTTTATCATTAACCAACATAAGAACAAAAATGTAGCTATATACGAATTATGTATTAAGTAAAAACAAAAAGTAATTGTACATGACTTTTATGCACTTTCAGGTTAGTTTTTTAAGGGGAAAAAGCAACTTTTCTTTGGAATAATTATTGAGGAGAAAGGAAGGATACACAAACTAACTCACCTGAATAAAGAGCCCCAGGAGGTTAATAGAACACATAGAAAGTACACATTAAACTGATATTTCGCCTCTTTCAGGGGCTTCTTCAGAGGTAGAAGGTAGAATGGAAGTTACAATTCTGGCCAAACAAAGTTTCTGTAAGGGGCAAAATATCATCTTAATGTGTAGGCCTACTTTCTATGTGTTTTATTCACTTTCATAATTTACTGAGGGATCAACTCGCTTCTGAAACTTGTACTGTATATTTTATTGCAATAGAAAAACTACACTTATCTTCAACAGTTCTTTCAGGTAAAAGGTCATCAAGAAGTCACATATTTTTATTTTACTAATTGGTTACCCTGAGTCTGAATTTGAATGTGATATTTGTTTATTTTTCATTTATTTTGAAAGCTTAAAAAAAATAGTAGGCTTCAATAATTGAAGTATTGATTTGAATTTAATTTTTCAATGCTGAATAGAAAGACTTGAGTAAGGAAGACTTTTTTGTCTGTTGCTGGTTTAAATACACCTATGAGTCATGAGCTTTGTTATTTAACTCATTTGACCTATGCAGGATGGGTCACCCGAGTCCGGACGTCGGGTCCAGCGGGTCTCGTACACCCAAGGTCAGTCCCAACTCCATGACGCCCCCAGCGATACGACAGCCTTCCAAACGTACCAGGCGAGGCTCAGAGAGTTCCAACGCCTCTCATGATGACTTGCCTTCCTCCGCACCCAGGTATGTCCACCCTAGACGTCCACACGTCCTGTCAATATGTTGGTGTCTAATTCCAGAATTTACAGTCGGTCCAAAAAATGTCAACAGTGATCACCTTTGGGATTATTTTTCATTGAACAACAAACTGAGTTTTAAATTGCAACACAACTTAAATATAGTATAGTATAGTATAGTACTTGGCCTGATTATCTTTATTTTTCTTATCTATCAAGCATGAAAAATGGGTCCTAACAAGTGGCACTTAAATTTTTATACCTCTGTTATTTTTTGCAGACCAAGCAAACGGAAGTGCTCAGAGAATGCTGCCGAACTGATAAAAGCATGCATGGGGTTGGAGGAATACCAAGGAAAGAAACCAGCAGATGTGGAAACTATCAAACCCAAAAAAGGTATAATTGTAGTATATCCAGTCACAATTTGATTGAAATATTTTTTTTTAGATTGACTTAGTTTAATTTATTTGGTAAATTTACTGTTTTACATTGTTTTATGTAGTTGCAGTAGGCTATTCACAATCAAGTATGACACACATATTTTTATTTTATTTAACCATTAAAATGTTATTTATTGACAGTACCTCACAAAAGAAGAACAAAATTTCACAATGTGATAACAATATGGAAATATCTCAATATATTTTGGTTAAATTTGCATTGTTGAGACTTCTTTCTTGTCGCATACCAGAAGTATATCATATCATATCATCTATCAATATTTTTAAATATTCAAAACAAAATATATATTTTATTTATTTTATTTTTAAAGCATTAAGTGTCTGGTATAAAATGCTCAAGTCTTACATTACACACTATATTAATTACATTAAGTTTAAAACATCATAGCTAAGCTATAGCCCGAAACTGTTTTATACATTACTTCAGGCTAGAAGTAGAAGGTTGTGGCAATGTTACATGGATAATAATCATTAGTGATGGCAGGATGTGAACCTGGAATAGAAGCTCTGTGCTACCACTAGACCAACTTACTCTCCACAACAGTACTGTAGAACACTAGGGATTTTTGGGCTTTTTAATGGGGGTTCATTACTCTTTGTAATAATAGTTTAACAAAATATTTTGTCATTTAAAATACTGATCGGTGTTTGGCACCAGGAGCGAGTTCAACTTCGGCAGAAGGTGTGGAATCGTCAGACGATGAGCCTTTGATAGAGATCGTGGGGAAGAACCGGAGCAAGACCAACTCCGTGTCGGAGGAACACCCGAGTCCTTCTCCGCGGTCATCGCGCGGCAGCAAAGACGAGGAGGGAAAGTGAGTCAGTCTGTTGTGTTGGCAATAGTGTAAGCGGGGACCGCTCAGGTCAGGGATCATGTTAGGCGTACAGAAACATTGCCAACTGAATGTTCTCTTGGACAAACAAGTTGGTATTGGCTGTGATAACTACCAGTTTGTTGCTTTCTAGTTTCTTGCTTGGCGCTCATTTCAAATTGCTTTCAAAATGTTGTTGGACTCTTGTAAATTCATTTGTAAGACAAAACAGACTTTTATCCAACACTCTTCTCTCGAATTGTTAGCAAATAACAGCAAGCTTGGTTGTTTAATTTCTAACGGAACAAATTTAAGATAAATTTACTAAAGTGTTTTGAATTTTTTGTAAAGTATTTATGTAAATATTATCACTGATGTAAATGTGTGTTTTAATTTTATATAGCATTACAATCTTCCTTTGTTTGTCAACGTTACAAAAGGAACTAAGCTATGGTGACTGATGTTGTTGAATAAATTGGTTTAAAATAATTGATTTACAACATGTGTAAAAAAAGAATTGTATGACATACTTTACAACAAAGTGAAAGAGATTATGAATGAATTTATTTATTGGCAGATTAATCACTCAATTTTGTGAAATTGTGTGTGTTTCTGTAAAATAATATGATCCCTGATTTGGGTATGAAGAGTGTTTTAAATTATAAATTTTTTTCAATTAATTATTTAAGTATACTTACTGCCATGTTTAAATTTTATACAGTTAGAAAATTGTTAGTTTTATTTTCACTTACTATTTGAGTGTTTTTGTTATTTATAAGTATTATTTTGTTTTTACTTGTGTGGAAGTTTGGTTTTCATTGTTCTTTCAGCTTTCTGGGGTGGTGATTCAGTTCTATTTATAGCTGTTACCATTTATAAATCTCATCAAATAAGAAGGTAGGTCTAACTTACTTCAGCAGTTTGTTTTATGGTATGTACACTATTTGCTTATGTTCAACATAAAAATGGGTGTTTTATTTTTATTTGTGGCTTAAATTCTTGACTGACTTTCTCTTATAGTGTGTAGTCTTTCGGGCTAATTCCAATTTTTACATTTTCACACATACAATATGGCAGGAATTGTACATACTGTTAATACACTTTTTTCAATCTAAAATACTTATGCATAAACACATCATCACATGTACATCAGTGTCCCACTATCACATATTTAACACTTTGTAAGATAGCTCGTCTACATCTACTTGATTGAGGTTATGAATGTGATAACCTTATTAATGGTGTCCCTGGAGTATGTGTGCATCCTGTCTTTACTAACCCAATTATTTAATACGAAAACCCCGAGCACTTTCACACAGTTATACATTTTGAGTCTTCACTATAAGAATGATTGATGAAGCGCTTCAATGGTTTCATTTTGGACACAGGTAAATTTTCTCTTCATCTACAGTAGTATGAATGACAACAACAGATCTTGTACAACTCATAGAAATTGTAGGTTTAAAAATAGCCTTAACTAACAGTCGACGAAACTAATAATCTCAGTCTCAGTCAGGCAATGCATTCTTTAGACCTTTTAGGGTTATCCCAAATTGTGTTTTAGTCCTTAAAAATAAATCTGAAGATTTACAATTTTCACAATTAACTCACTAAATTTGTATTGCAATTTTTGTTGCTTTGAGCTTTTAATTGTTTATAAGTAGTAGAAATAGCTAAATTAAATCAAAGTAAAACTAAGGGTTTGGGGATGAAGGATAGACGGTTTTTATGGTTGATAGGACGAGTGAAGCTATTTGAGTTTACCTTATAGTTAAATTTGTATTACATTTTTTTCTAGTTTGATTTAATTCTACATGTTTTATAGCTAGGTTTGAAAACATTGCAAGGTTAAGGTGTAACCTTTGTTTGTGTGTTTGTTGACTAAGTGAGACTGAGAAGCAAAATTTCCTTAATAAAACCCCATAGAGCTTTCTTACTCTTTCCATTTAGTGTTTTGGAGAAAAAGCACTTTGCCTAAGAATTCATTAAAAAAAGTTCTCATAGCTCTTGTTAACACTTTATAAAAAAATTACCTGTAAATAGGTACATCATAAGAAAAACAGCCTACTGCTTAGTCAATGCACCTCGTTTGAACAAAATTAACCATGTTAAGTTTGATGAAATTCTACGTTTGTATATAATGCTATAAATATCATTCCTAGTTTCTCTATGAAATCTTTTTTCAAAAACATTGTAAAATGAATTATCCAAATAAAAGTTAAATCACTCGAAATCACACTTTAACTATCAAATAGACAGTAAGGTTTAATTTGGTTTTTTTATAGGAAAAACAAGCTAACCTTTACTTGCAGTGAGTAGTCTTCTCAATAGGAAACACATTTATATACACACAAAATTGAATTATTTAACTATCACTGACTACTTTGTCTATCACAAAGAAAGGAAGATGGAAATTGCATTGTGTTGGAAATATTCTGGCCAGGAAAAATAAAAAGCATCCTAAAACTATCTTTGGACTAAACATGTCGTGATTGTCTCCTGACTGAAAATTCTATTTTTGACTTTGGGGATGTGTCGATTCTCGATACCACCAATCGATCGCCAATAGTCTATTCTGATACTGATACTCAACCCGTCTACGAATATCGTGCGATCGGAAAATTAACGCTGCTTCCAATTATACAAGACGACGATGACGTTTCCATAACTGCAGAAGACAATGATGATGTCTAATTAGCCTCGAGAAATAATCAGAATTTAGCCTCAATCATGGAAGATGGTGATAATTTCTACAGGATTGCTGTAGATGTTCATTATTTTCTGCAATTGCGATAGACAATGCCATTTCTGTGACCACAGGAGTCAATGATGATGTCATACATGGGCGTGGGAGATAATCAGAATTTTGCCTCAATCATGGAAGATGGTGATAATTTCTACAGGATTGCTGGAGATGATCATTATTGTTCTGCGATTGCGATAGACAATGCCATTTCTGTGACCACAGGAGTCAATGATGATGTCTACATGGGCGTGGGAGGTGATCAGAATTTTGCCTCAATCATGGAAGATGGTGATAATTTCTACAGGATTGCTGGAGATGATGATTATTGTTCTGCGATTGCGATAGACAATGCCATTTCTGTGACCACAGGAGTCAATGATGATGTCTACATGGGCATGGGAGATAATCAGAATTTTCCCTCAATCATGGAAGATGGTGATAATTTCTACAGGATTGCTGGAGATGATCATTATTGTTCTGCGATTGCGATAGACAATGCCATTTCTGTGACCACAGGAGTCAATGATGATGTCTACATGGGCGTGGGAGATAATCAGAATTTTCCCTCAATCATGGAAGATGGTGATAATTTCTACAGGATTGCTGTAGATGTTCATTATTGTTCTGCGATTGCGATAGACAATGCCATTTCTGTGACCACAGGAGTCAATGATGATGTCTACATGGGCGTGGGAGATAATCAGAATTTTGCCTCAATCATGGAAGATGGTGATAATTTCTACAGGATTGCTGGAGATGATCATTATTGTTCTGCGATTGCGATAGACAATGCCATTTCTGTGACCACAGGAGTCAATGATGATGTCTACATGGGCGTGGGAGATAATCAGAATTTTGCCTCAATCATGGAAGATGGTGATAATTTCTACAGGATTGCTGGAGATGATCATTATTGTTCTGCGATTGCGATAGACAATGCCATTTCTGTGCCCACAGGAGTCAATGATGATGTCTACATAGGCGTGGGAGATAATCAGAATTTTGCCATGATCGTGGAAGACAACAATGACGTTTTCATGACTGCAGAAGTCGATAATGGTGGCTTCGCGACTGCTGGAGATGATCACGTTAAATCAAGCTTAACTTGACTGATTTAATCAGGCTGAAACAGCTCTAGTTAAAATAAAATTCTTTTTGATTTTTGATGTTACATCTTCACTTACCTTTACTTACCTTTGATATGGTAGTTATTTAATATGTTTAGAAGGATTAAACTGAAATCGGCTAGTTAGAATTTTTCATTGCTGCATTAACTATTTCTTTGCTTAATTAACACTCCATTTACCCCAAATACTTTATGGAAGGAGATAAAGACAGGGGTTAGTGTTGTATAACCAATCCATTAAGAAAATTTGGTAAAACTATAAAAAAATGGTTTTGGTATCCAGAATTGATAAATCTTGGTATCGACACATCACGAGTTGACTTAGCTAAGCAGCCTATAATAATCTCAGGACTACTAATCGTATAATCGACCTAAATCTGTACAACCTATAATTATCTTAAGACCAAACATCCTATAATTTGCTGAGGACTTAAAATCCTATAATTGACTTAAAAATATGCGTCCTATAATTATCTCAGGACTAAACATCCTATAATTTGCCGGCGACTACAAATCCTATGATCAACATAAATCGAAGCATCCTATAACCAGTACTAAACATCTCATAATAATTATTGTCTCCGGACTAAACCTCCTACTATAGCGTTCAATAGGTTTGACACAGTTTAGCCAAGTGACACCAACCACTGCCAACTAACACTGGGAGAGTAACGCGGGTGTAATTGGTGATGTTGGTTCTAGCTTGCTGGAAGTGGGCGTGAGGTCGGTGTGTTTGTGATTGTATGCCCTCCACAGCCCAGGTAAGCAACGTGCACTCTCTTTCTCTCTATCTATCTTTCTCTTTCTCACAATAGCCGTCGCTTTTCAGTGTGTGCACCTTGGGCGCCTAAACGTTCGTTACCTTGTGTTTGTTGGTTACAGGTACAATGGTTGATCTCTTTTGGATGTTGTCACCGATACTCGTTTTGCAAACCATTTCCATGCTTTTTCATATTTTTAAAATTCAAATTCTTTCATGTAGTGATAGGTGAGTCTTAAAAAATCATGTAATTGAGCTGAAATTATTCTGTTAATGATGAGAATATTTACTCTTATTGACTTTAAAATATTTATGTCTGGGTTCAAGGTAAATAAGATTTAAGATTTAGTTCAACCAAGTTCATCCAAGTTCAACCAAGTTGCTTGGATGTAATAAAAAATAATGTTCCTTAACTAAAATTGAACAGTTTAACATTCAGTCTTATCAAAAAGATTAATCATCAATGATAGTTTTTTTAAATTAATTAAATTTTTGTAGCTATCCCTATACTGTTTATCAACTTTAACCCTTTGAGTGCCAACGTCCGGGGAACCGGACGTTTTTAAAACGAGCCAAAAGTGCCGACGTCCGGCCGACCGGACGTTTTTAGAACGAGCCAAAAGTGCCAACGTCCGGCTGACCGGACGTTTCGTAATGATCGAACAGCTGTTATAACAACCGAACGGATACTCGGATTCTTTTAACCCATATATTAACATTGAGTCGAAAGTTACTAGATGCGATACATCGATTTTCGTTGGTCGAAATATCGAAAATTCGATTTTTACGAAATTTTAACCTAAAAACCGCCAGATCGCGCTCGGCATTTTTAGCGCGACCTTCGGGAAAAATCATCGGCATTTTTTGAGCGTTACTTTTATTTCTCGCCTGGCACGCTAAGGGTTAAAATATGAAGTTTTGCTGTTGAGTTTCAAGCTCAAGTTGTTGATTTATCATTTTACATAACAATTTTCTTTAATTTAATTTAGTAGTTTAATTTTTCTATGCAGTCTTATTAAAAAGTTCAATAATCAGCGATTGCCCTTTTTAATTAATAAAATGTTGCTATAATATAATCGGCTATAATGATTTATCCATCCAAATACCAACATACCTTCCCAAAAATATGAGAGTTTGCTGTTAAAAGCCAAGTTAAAATTTTTTATTTATCATTTTATATTAATATACTAATAATATATATACTTAATATATATACTTTACTGTTAGCACCGTATTGTTGAAAGCTTTTCAGATTTACAGAGTTCAGTTGAAGTAATTTTAAATTAGATAAATTAAAGTTTCAAAGACTCTTTGTCTTTTTTGAAACCAAATATTGCTGACTACAGTAAAAACCTGCTGTCTGGCTTGCGATGGTCCGGCACTTTAAATAATTCGTCATCAGAGTCTATAAGTGTGATAATTTTTTGTATGCTATTTTAAATAATTTTGTTGTAGCGATCGGCAGATGTTGTTAGCGATTGGCAGACGGCGCTTGTGATTGTTTAGACTTCTGCAGCTATCATTCAGACGGCAGGAGCTATTGTTAAACTTCGGGAGTAATAATGGTTCAGGCGATAGTATCGGTCGTTCTGTCTGCGGTATCAATCGTTCAGTCGTCGGTATCGATCGTTCAGACGTCGGTGGTGATCATTCTGACGTTGCTAGTGATCGGCAGATAACGTTGCGTTATTTTTTTGTGGTAACTCCGCTAGCCTCTCTATATTGCCGGTTTTTAGAAGTTAATCAATAATCCGGCGAAGCCGAAGTCCCCAACGTTCCGGATTATTGATCATCTACTGTATTGTTTACAATTTTGTTTTTTTCTGATTTGCTTTTAAATGCTCCTTTGACTTTTCAAAATTTTATTAAGAGATTTTCACAGTTGTTATTGGTTTTGAATTTTGACCAAGAATTTTTTTGAAATAAAGCCTAACTCAATAAAAATGAGACTTTATAATATGTTTGTACAATTTTAGTGTAAAGCCAATATATAGCAATCAAGTAATAGCAACAAATACAGACCTTCCAACTCGCCATTACTATGCTCTTATTGAAAAAAATTAAATATCGTTCTTCATATAAATAATGTAATATTAATTTATTTTGGTAAAAAATAAATACTTAATTATCATTTTAGTCTTTTCCTAAATGTAAATCCTTGCAATTCACACGTAAATCACCTTCATACTCATTAACTTAAACTAAAACTTATATTAAAAGTCACACTCTCTATCGGAATGAAATCTTATTAATATGAAGTAAGACAAATTTCAAAATTTCTAGCAATTAATTTCATCTTATAATTTCATACATGAAACAAAAGCTTAATTATTAAATTTTAATCAATGAAAAAGCATGAAATGTGTTTCATATTTTAATTTATATATCTTAATGTTTTCATTTATAGGTTATAGAGACATGTTTAGCTCTAATCAATGTTAATTAATTTGATTATAATATGTTTTCAGTTCATATGAGTTCAATGCTTGTTTAAATCATTATGTTTTCCAGTGGTTTTAGTTAAGTATATCAATAGTTTTATATTTTTGTTATTGTTAAAATTTTGTTATCTACATAACTTTCAATAAATTATTAAAATAATAAATAATTTTAATTTAAGACATAAAAAACTCACATATTTTAAGTGGTCATTTGAAGTGAATTTTAATTAAAACTTGCCTTAAAAATTCATTAATAACCTTAATTTGATATTTATTAGTCACACCAAACAGATAAATCTATTGTTTGTAGAGACCAGGTAAAGAAATTATTACCATCTATTAATTAGTATAAAAACTATAGGCTATATAAATCAATATTTAAGTTAATAATAATACTTTATTTCTTCCTTCAAGGTTTCCAGATATTATTAAAATATCTCTGTTACTTTTAATCCAAAATATTATTCATATTTTTAAATTAATACTTACTAACACAAAATTTTCTCTCCCGAAAATATTTTTATTTCCATACATATCCATTTTTGTTCCCTTCTCTCAAATTATTATGTTTTTTTTTGGTATCGTAGATATGGGATATGCATGGTATTTTCAAAATTTAGCTGCTTCGTATCTTGTGCTTTTAGAAGTTTTGTGTGTGTGATATGCGTACTTTGTTAAATCTAGCTGTTTCATGTTAGTTTATGCCTTCTTAGAATCTTATGTCATGCATAATGTAGGCATATTATGTTTTGATTCAGTAGGTTGAGGAATATCTGTTTTGAAAAAAATAATTAATGTTATAATTTTGGTGGAGTAGATTTTCCAAAATTCAATATCTTTGTTTACTGAAGTTATTCATTTTGTGTGAATTATTTCAAGTTACTGAAATTAGTAATAATTGTTTAGTTCATTTTAAACCCAACTGATCATAGTAATGCTATACAATTTGTTCCTAATAATTACATACAATATATCTTGATTTAATTTTTCATCTTTTATGGAACCGCCAATGATCAAAATAATTTGTTTATGCATGGATCTCATACCAGTCTCAAATAATGATAGTGTTTGACCGTAATTAATTTCAAGCAAATGCTAGAATGTTTCCCTTATTGCATTCTTATGTTAGTTTTGTATTATTATAATCTATTTATGAATCATGTTTGTCTTGAAACACTGGTTCTGTACAAGGACTGATTATGCAACTGACTTGCTCTGGTATAACATATTTTTTTCCTTTTATCCATTATTCATGTTTTTTTAACAAGCACTCAACCAAAGAGAGATACTATCTATCATCGATGGTAATAATTTCAATTGGTCCCTTGCTTTATTTATCACCCCAAGGGCATTTTCCTTGTAAATAGTATTACATTGTTAAATTAAATTCTACCCTCTAATTAGGATTGGAAGTTATCTGCCCTATAGGTCCTCAATATAAAACTTGACGTTGTATTTTTTTATTAGAGTTCTTAAATAAACTATTTCGTATGTTTATCTCCTGCAATATTTAAGTTAATGATGTTAAAAATTGAAATTTTATCAATTGTTGTGATTTTTTAAATATTCTAAGTTTAAAATTCCTTACGGAACCAGTATTAAACAACACACACATACATATACTGAAACTAGAAATAATTGATGGTTTTAGGCAATTAAGTGATAAATTTTGTAAAGCTATCTTCAAATGACCACTTAGCCTAAGGGTTTGCTGATACAGTTCAAACAATTAAACAAAATGTTATTAGAAACAGACCATAAAATTCAATCATGAAGCTATTGTATTACTATATTGTTAAAATTATATGGTTTTGTGAGTTTTCCTGATTCAAAACATCATTACAGTATCTTTTGCTAAGGCCCTTTGTGTACTGTAACACTATAATCAAATTAGTTTTCCTGATGATTGTTTACAGGTTTTACAATCGGTGAATGGCTCAATTGCCTTGTGACTTGTCAATGGAGAATTATTGAACAAAATAATGTGGAAGGATCATAACTAACACTACTTGTTGCAGAACCATCAGCGGGGCCGGCAACACCCCGAGAACCAACCACAAGTTGCCTGTTGGCGGCAACGTGAGCGCCGCCAAGCAACCCCCTGCCAGCACCGCCAGCACCCCCGCTCAGACCCCTGCGGCGCGACGCTCCATCAGGCAACACCCTGCGGACGACAAGAAAAGTGATAAAGTGATCTCAGTAAACACACAAGTGACCAACACCAAGATCAGTGCTAGTGTTAGTGCCAAGAACAGTAGCAACGGCTGTGCCGCAGCAACACGAGGCAAGACTAACTCACCCCCCTCCACTGCTGCCACCGCGACCGACGAAATCAACACTCGACGGAAGACGCGGAGCGGAGCTGTCGTTGGTCAGTAGATACGGTAATCCGGTTTTACATTCCTTTTCTGTAGTTAAGTGTTGTTGTTTGCAAGGTATTTTTTGGGTAGCTGGAAATAATTTATGGAGGCAATATTTTGAAATATGCCTGGATATATATTTTTTAAATATTCCGTATAGATATTGATATTTATTTAAAATTATAATTATAATTTATTAAATTTAAATTATAATTATAATTTATTAAATTTAAATTATAATTATAATTTATTAAATTTAAATTATAATTATAATTTATTAAATTTAAATTATAATTATAATTTATTAAATTTAAATTATAATTATAATTTATTAAATTTAAATTATAATTATAATTTATTAAATTTAAATTATAATTATAATTTATTAAATTTAAATTATAATTATAATTTATTAAATTTAAATTATAATGATAATTTAACATATTGCACCTGCTACTAGATACAAAAGATCATCAGAATTGTATTTTTTATCTAACTTTCAACGCAAACTTGTAAAAATGGTACCTATTACCGTAGTTGAAATTTACCATTAGATAATTTTAGTATTCTACAAGAAAAATACAAGCAATAATTACAATTTTATCAATTATTGTAACTCTTTCAATATTCCAAGTTAAACCAGTAATAAATAATCATATATAAATTGAAACTAGAAATAAATTTTGGTGTTTGGCAGTTGATGTATTTTGGAAAGCCAACTTTGAATCTTCACTTAGCTTGATGTTTTGCTGAAAACATTGAATCTTGATTTCTGAAGTAGACATCCCATCTATTTGGACCAGCTGTTGCCAAAGGATATACAGAAGTTATGAGCTAGTCAGAGAGTGGGCTACTGTCTAAAGTTCTATTTTCTGCCTCATTTTTTTATCAAGATAGTTAATATGATATAAAAGATAGGCCTACTTAAGCTTACAATAATTTTTCTTCTCATGGGTTTAACCCCAGATTTGGTTCACCCTAGTCAGAATCATTTTTCTGGCAACTGTTGCAAAGATATAAGTTCAGAAAAAACTGTCAATAGATAGGGATGGATGGGATTGAACTTTTAGTTCGGGACGGGACGGGATTTTTATTTCCTTCCCAATTTTGAGGACGGGACGGGGCGAATTTTTTCCTGTGCATAAAAAAAGTCCTTGAGTATTGCAGTTACCAAAAAAGAAAATCAATTTTTACAGTTTGCGGCACTGATCTATCAAAACAAAAAAAATGGGTAACAATTTACAGGTATCTATAGAAACTTGTGACTCACGGTTGAAATGACTCGTGGTCACGTTGCGATAGTCAAAATGACTCGCGGTCACGGGATGATCATCGGTATGACACGTTGTCACGACATGATCTGCGGTCACGGCGCGATCGTCGGTATGACTCTGCGGTCACGGCGCGATCGTCGGTATGACTCTGCGGTCACGGCGCGATCGTCGGTATGACTCCGCGGTCACGGCATGATCGTCGGTTTGTCTCCGCGATCATGGGGTGATAGTTGGTATGACTCACAGTCTCTACAGGATCGTCGGTATGACTCCGCGGTGACGGCGCGATTGTCATTATGACTCTGCGGTCACGGGGTGATCGTCGGTATGACTCACGATCACAGCATGATCGTTAATATGACTCGCGGTTACGGCGCGATCGTCGGTATGACTCCACAGTCACGGCGCAATCGTTGGTATGACTCCGCGGTCACGGTGTGATCGTCGAAATGACTTTGCTTCCTGCGTTCGCGAAACTATCGTGAACATCACTCGCGAAGCGGCAAAATTGCCAACGATCGGACCAAATCCCGTCCCGAAAAATTCCCGAATAAAATGTAATCCTGTCCCAAAAATTGGGAATATTTTTTTCCCAAAAATTTCCTTAAATTTCGGGACCCGTCCATCCTTAGTTCTAGATTTTAAAATTATAGTAATTAAAATCACGTAAAAAAAGCTACTGTTGTCTTTGAACCAAAATTGCTTCTAAATTCAATCCAACAATTTACGGTGAATAAATAGGTTATTTAAAAATGGTCGGGCCCTCTTTGTTTAGGCTGATGGAGGTTTCAATGTAAGTTGATGGAAGTTGAATTGAAAGTTTTTGGAACAGAGTCTGCGTGTCTGTGCTATGAAGGGGTTATGTTGAATTTTCTGTGGTTGGTTTCAGGAGACTCAGAATCTACCAAAAGACGACGGCCCTCCAGAGATAGCAAGTGATGGATGACCACGCCACAATGCGTCTCAACTTAGTTACTTTTGTTTGTTGATCATTTGAATTTTATTTTTTTAAATTTTATGGTTATCGGTTGTAAGTACTTAGTAAGGCGAATCTTATCTTTTAATATCTTTGTTTAATACCTTTACTGTTGTGATTTGACTAAGCCGTGTTAATTTAGTCTGTTTTTGTTGACACTAAAAAGGTTTTCCATGATTCTTTTTTATAGTTGCGATTATTCACTTTTGTATTGTGATATTATACTTTAGCCGATTTTGTTGTGTAGATCAGAGGTTTTTAGACTGTATGATTTCGTCGCTTTATTCGTTTTGTGAGATTTCACGCGGTATTTATTTTCATCTTAATATTTTTTATAGTTTTTTTCTGATTGTGTATTGCTTTTAACATCAAGTCCAGGGAGGGTTTTTCATAAGTTCAATATGCTCGAGTTTTAATTTGTCGGTTCTTGTATGGGCGTGCAGTCAGGTGGATAAAGTGAATATTGCCTCCATAACCATAAAACGCCTTAGGTTACACTTAACCTGTACATTTTGTAACATTGTACAAATGACAAGTATAAGATGCTGCAGAATATATTTAGTGGAAACAGATTCTATATATTTTTTGTTTTTAATAATTTTACGTAAATGATAAATCGTAAAAATTTGTCTCGTGTATTTAGTTAGGTAATATGTATAAATGAGTGTAAATATCTAGCGGGGGTCATGTAAATACACTTGTGTACACAGAGTCGTGTTCTTTTGTATATTCGTATGTACATTGTTGTTAGCTCTAACTTTTGTTATACAAATTATATTGTGTTGAAATGTATATAAATCAATTTATAGAGTAATAACGGTATTTTGTTTTACAACGGCTAGATTTGATATCTAAATTAATTTGAGGATTGATTTTTGCCTCTGATCCTCGGTTATATTCCTGTTATATTGATTACCATGTCGAGTTCCATTATTTTGTTTATGTTAAAAGTGCTACTCTATAGTATAGGCTCCGTGTTCAGATTATGTTATTTATATTATACATAAAAGTCAATTCTCAAAGATAAATATTACCACCTTATTAAGATATATGAAATCTATGTTTAAGGTAAATGCTTCTGTGTCTTAAATACCGTAAATAAAAGTTTAAAAATTACTGTCTGATTTTATTATTTTAGCTGTTGGAGCTTTTTAAAACAGAAAATTGCAAAGTGTTGCTAAACTATAATATATATATTTTTAAAATGTTTTAGTTAAAAACTTAACCATTTATAATATAGTAAGTTTCTTATATTATTAGCTAAATATAATATCACATGTTTGTTTTGCGATGCTAAAAGTATACTTTTTGTTTACAATTTCTGTTTTGAGAATAGAAACGCTTAGTTAAATTTTATTTGTGTTATCAGTAACTTTTGTTTACAAAGAATCTATATACGCTGCAAGCTATTTTATTTTAAGTTGTTAGAATTTCATACAAAAAAAATTGTTTCATACACTTGGAGAGTTCAGGATTAGTATTTTGTTTCTAATGTAATTTGCATAGTTTTCTTGAGTCGACCATAGTAAATTGTCTCAGTAATCTGATAGATTATTGTACCTTAGACATTGTACATGATTACAAAAGTATATGTAGGAGATAAAAGAGTTTATTTTACATGAGTATTTGCAGGCTTGTAAAATGTTAATTTGGTCAATATTTTGGGTCTTTTTAAAATTTTAATTTGTACTTTGGGTAAATCATCTTTGCAGACTAGTAAAATAAATGCCAATCTTTCTTGTAACAAAACCAATCGCAGCTTTAATCATTTAGTTCAGTTTTGAATCGCTCCAAGAGTTGAAGGTCACCAATATTTGATATTTTCTAAGCTAACTTTAAGATAGTTTTATGTCGGGTAGATTTAGAGGCTTCCCTAGCTTTAATAGGGTCTATCATAGAAGTGACGGGTCTCGCAATGAAGTAGACCTCAAGTACAAATGTATTTTTAAAATGGTTTTGTATAAATTCATTTGTATGAATGGAATTAAGTGTTTCTGTTCATATTTGTATACAATATAAATAATATATATTATATAAAATAAAGCTTATGACGTTGATGAACTGTTGCCTCTATTTTTACACTATCGTTGAAGTTAGTGTCTTAGATTCTAATCGTTGTTCGCCCTTTGGAAGCCGTGGCTACAAAAACTTGCCTTATTTTATGTTGTCTACTCGTCTAGTTAGCATGTATAGAGAAATGTCACATTTTTTGTATTCTGCATGCCAAAAATCTAACAAGTCTTTTTCACAATGTGATGCTTTTAACTTTTTTTTATTTGGGGGTGAAAATTATTTATCTAGTTTAAGTTTTGTTTTGGAATGTTGGTCCACGATGGCGTTTTATAGGTAAAATTTGAAGTAAAATGTTAATTTTTCAAGGTGTTAACGTATAATTCAATTTAAACTGTTGTGTAAGAACTTAAATAATGAAGATTAACGATACTAATGGAAGTAGATAAATGTGGCGGGTAATAGAATTAAATTGAGATGTTTAATCCAAATTTTATGTCACACCCTAAATGAAATAGTAAACTAAACTAAAGATCTTTTTTCAAATAAGAAAATTGAAATTTATTGTGATATGTGTGTTCTCTATAAAATTGAATAAACTAATTAAAGGCAATGTTTTTTAAACTAGCAACGCAATTCATAATAATGGCGATTTTTATGAAAAACTGTCATAACTAAATTAATATTATCGATTTGTTGAGCACAAGAACACGTAGGAAGTTTTCTTTACGTAGGCGCAAAAATTATAAAATCTTTGTAATTTAATTCACATACATTTCTGCGTGTCTTAGATGTATTATTAAACTTTGAAGTCAAAACTTAGTAATTTATTATCAAAAAGGTCTGTTGAGAGCAAGACAGCATGCTTACTTGAATGTTTTCTTAGCAGTAATAAACACAATTTATCTGAGGCAATGCGACATATGCTGGATTACTAGACTAATAAACTTAACTAATGTATGTGACTTTAAATAAATCAAGTTAAAATTTAAAATAGCTAAAGTAAAATTGACTGTCAAATCAGACTTTGAATCAGAGACGTCATTGTGAATAAGCAAGCTTTGCCTTCTTAATTCTTAATCTGTTGTGATTCAAAATTTTAACTGAGTTAATTTAAAGTAAATATACATACATGCTGTTAATAAATAGTACAAATTGTGTCATTATTGAACATCAATTAGTTTTCCACTTTTATACATTCTAATTTTGTGAAATAATATCCATAAAAAAATAAGTGAAAGAATTTATTCCTAAAACTGAATTAGCAAACACAGATTTTATGAGTTTCTACTGTGTAAGAAATTGGTACCATACCACTCTGTATTGTAGTTTTTGCATTAAATCCATATTTAATTTGGTATAAGTTTTTTTACACTGGTATTCAGAAAAATATTTTACTTTTGACAGTCAAGTTCAATGTTTTTTGGGCCCTAGGTGGCAAAAAGAACAATCATAGCTTTGCGAGTATTTATGCCTTATGGGACCACATTTGTAAATATAGTAGTTTGAGTATGGGGTCACTATCTAACCTGTTTAGTGTGTATAGTGTGGCCAACAGATAGTCACGGCTTCCTGTCAAGTCCCACTTTAGTGTTTCAATGTTGGCAGTATGACTGATGAAGGCAAATCAAAAAGTGTTAACTTACAAGACCAGACAAAACAATGTGACTTCAAAGGCTGGAACTGTTGAAAGTGGGAGAAATTCGTTATTTATTTTTTGTACAGGTTTATTATTATTTTGCTGAAGTGGTGCCTAGAGTGGCACTAGTTACATTAACCGCTGACCTATAAAGTATTGAGATTATTCCAAAAATATTCGTAAATATGTTACAGTTTCAATGACTTGAGGGTTTCGGTTTAAATATACCAAAAGATTGCCCCAAAAATCCCTTTTTTGTTCATTAATGCCATGGTATAAATTCTTATATTTAAGGTATAATTAGAGGTAATTTTTAGAAACCAATGTTCGTAGAGATCAGTAGGCCAGATTTTAAACTTAAACTATAAAAAAATTGAATGCATTATTACATTACAACTATTTACTGTGGTGAAATATTTTTATGATTTTAAAATACTCTTTGCACAGGTACACTTGCTGTGTTTTGGCAACATTTTGTCTGGAACATTTTCTAACATTCCCGATGCTCTTAAATTTTGCTTAAAACGTGCAGATGAATTATTTTTCTTTTGTGTTGAAGTTATTAGATCAGTTGTACACCAACCCTGACGATATTTGTGTGCCATACAGTGAAATGAATATCTAAACTCAATCCTACTTTCTATGTTTATTATCATTCTGTATTTGCTCATTCTAAAATGCATGTTTGACTCACGTTTGTGCCACCTCACCATCCGAAGGATCTTATTAGTGCCTTGACTAGCGAAGCAATGTAGTGTCGTCTGCAGCCATACAAGTATATTGCCAACCTTGAAATGTCCGGCTCGCTCACGTTTCATGTAGCCTCGTGATGACCATTTACCATTATTATTTTACGAGTCTGCTCAGACTCGAGTATTGCCGAGCAGTTCGGTGATCGTTGTTGTTTATTTTTAAGTTCCCGGTTCCTTCTTCCACCAGTCACGTGTGTCGATGCAAGTCGTCGTGTTTGGTATTGCCGGTGAAGGGTTATGTGCATTTCATGTTGTTTTTAATTTGCTCCGGTCTAGGTGAGTGTACGTTAACTGTAAAAAAGAGACGTGTTCTAACACGCTGGGTGTTTGTTGTTGATCCATAGTTGTTAGTGTTTTAAGTTGGACATATTATTTGTATATTAGAGCGGTAGCGTATGACCATAATTTAATGTATGTATAAGAGTCGCATTATATATAAATATAGCACCTTTGCAGTGTATATACATTTTATGTACATAGCCACTTCCTAGCCTTTCCTTAGACACCGACTTTTTTTTTTGAACAAAGTGAAATGAATATAGTTGTATAATTTGTCTGTACAGATATTGTAATTTGAACATAAGAATTCACAATATATTCGATTTATTTAGGGTTATTTGTATTTTAGTACTTCAAACAATAACATTGAAAATAAATACTGTAGCATTTGGAAATCAAACTAGTAGTTTTATTGAAATGCCTATTTATTTTGCACTGTAAAGTGGTAACTTAATATGTTTCAGGTTTAGGTTATTAAACTGATTTGTTCTTACGATACAATATTTAAACTATTCTGTTGTTTGATTTAGTTTTACATATTTTAGAACTTAAGAACGTGTATTAAAATAATAAATGAATTCAATCGAATATAATAAATATAAAATTATCTAACATGATTTATTACATCTGTATTTATAGTAAACTGTAAAATGACAGCAGTTACGAGTGTGGAAATTGTAAGGGGTTCAAGTGCTGAACTGTTAGTTAACATTTACAGTAAAAGTTTAATGTATCCACGGACAAGAGAATAGATGTATATTTCCTTGTCTGTGGTGTATCTTACTATGTTTATTATGCAATAGGACCAAAAGTTTAAATAATCCAGAAGTTATTTAAAAATAATACGACATGGGTCCTTCTCTTAATCTTGATGACTTCAAGAAATATGCATATTTGAATTATGCCTGATTTTATCAAGCTTATTTTTATTCCTTATCTTACGAATACAAGAATCCAAATTCTCCTATTCCAAAAGTAATAGGATTCTTATAAACACAGTAAGAATCTCAAAATGAGAGGTGCGCCACTCTTGAAATATAGTAATCCCACCAAGGCTTTCAACAAACAGACAAGGTTTAGAACATTCACCTATAACTTGCTCGTGGGTTAAGTGAAACATTTAAGACATACGATCATATCTTCAACCCACCCAGGTCTGGGTTTAGGGGGAATCACACTCCCTCTTCTCCTACTGAGGGATCTCAAGAAAACGTTTGTATTTATTGTAGCTGAAAAGCAGATTTAAGTTTTAACACAATTTGGAGTTTTAAAATTCAGATTGAAATGTGTGCAAATAATTGGTACAATCTAATGGGGAAAATTAATAACTTTAGCGGAACAACCGTTGGTTGTATCTATTCCCTTGCCTGTGTTGTATATCCATTAGAAATTCTTTATTCATTCAGGTATGTCACCTCATATACTCATGCTAAAAA